AATCTGTTAGTTATACTCAGTACAGTTGACCCTTAAGTAATGCAGGGTTTAGGAGTGCCAGACCCCATGTAAAACTTAAGTTGACCCTCTCCATACGCAGATTCCCAACTATGCATTGAAAATATACTACTTTCTCCAATTCTATTGACAAAGAAAACTGGGTCTCAGAGGGAAAAAGACACACACACACACGAAATACAAGTTATAACAGCAAACATAATACTTGTCCTGCAGATTAGAATGTCAAGTCTGAGACAAATTACTTAAGTCACCTGCAAACCTCAGTTTCTCCTGTGAGAGTCCATACAGCAAGTGTTGCAGTTAGGATAATAACAAGGTGGCTAGCCTATAAGATTGTAATGGAGCTGAAAACTTTCTATCACCTAGTGACTTGTAACATTGTAGTGAAATGCATTACTCACCTGTTTGTGATGATGCTGTGGTGTAAAAAAAACCTATGTGCTGCTGTTGTATAAAAGTATAGCACATACACCGAATTATGTACAGTACATAATACTTAATAATAAAGAACAATGTTAATGGTTTATTTAGTTACAACACTATACTTTTATTGTTATTTGAGTATCCTCTTTCTACTTATAAAACAACTACAGGCCTGGTGCACAAAAATTTATGCACTCATGGTGGGTCCCTCAGCCTGGCCTGTGCCCTCTCGCAGTCTGGGACCCCTCGGGGGATGTCCACCTGCTAGCTTAGGCCCGCTCCCCCAGGGGATCAGGCCTAAGCTGGCAGTCGGACATCCCTCTGGCAGCCTGGGAGCCCTTGGGGGATGTCCACTTGCCAGCGGGGAGCAGACCTACACTGCAGTCGGACATCCTTAGCACTGCTGAGGAGGTGGGAGAGGCTCCTGCCACCACCTCTGTGCTGGCAGCCGTCAGCCTGGCTTGTGGCTGAGCAGAGCTCCCCCTGTGGGAGTGCACTGACCACCAGGGGGCAGCTCCTGCATTGAGTGTCTGCCCCCTGATGGTCAGTGTGTGTCATAGTGACCAGTGATTCCCAGTCATTCTGCTGTTAGGGTCAATTTGCATATTACCTTTTTATTATATAGGCTAGAGGCCTGGTGCACGGGGTGGGAGCCGGCTGGTTTGCACTGAAGGGTGTCCCAGATCAGAGTGGGGGTCCTGCTGGGGTGCCTGGCTAGCCTGGGTGAGGGGCTGAGGGCCATTTTCAGGCTGACCAAGCCCCCTAGAGGGGACCTTCACCCCATGGGGGTGTGGCCAGCATGGGTAAAGGACTGAGGGTCATTTTCAGGCTGGCCACACCCCCCAGTGACCCAAGCTCCCAGCCTCTCCTTTTTTTGCAGGTATCTGGGATTTATTTATCTTCTATATTTGTAACTTTGTAGCCTTGAGTGGAGCCCAGGGCCACCCAGGGCAGGCGGGAAGCTTGGCTTCCTACATCGCCAGGGGCAACCCAAGCCTCCTGCTCGCTCCAGCTTTGTGGCTGCTGCCATCTTAGTTGGGTTAATTTGCATAGTTGCTCTGATTGGCTGGTGGGCATGGCTTGTGGGTGTAGCAGAGTGACAGAATGATGGTTAATTTGCATCTTTCTCTTTTATTAGTGTAGATGTTTGCTGTAAAACAGTATGCTGTGTTATGTAGGCAGGAGCCTCAGAGATCTTGCATTTGCTGTGTCTCTTGATTGCATTGTCTCTTGTAATTGATTTAATACCGTGTTTTGTACAGAAACATGCTGTTCAGGCTTGTAGCCTAGAAGTAATGGGTTATACCATATAGCCTGGATGTGTAGTAAGCTATACTGTCTAGGTCTGTGTAAGTCTACTCTATGATGTTCACAATGATGAAATCGCCTAAGGCGCTTTTCTCAAAACTTATCCCCATCGTTCATCAATGACTAATTGTATTTTAATTCAGAAAAAGTACCTATTAGTTCTGGGGTTTGAGGACATACAGAAAAAATAAAGGTCTGTAAATTTATTAAAAGAAACTTTAAACATTTAAAATACAACCATGTTGGCACAAGCTTAAGTGAACTTCAAAGAACTAGGTTAACACCCAGTATGCAAACATGGTCTGTTTATTTTACAAAGTACAAGATATACAGAAAGGGGAGATAGAAAAAAACAAACCCTAAAAATCCCTAGGAAGGCAGAGAAAACATTGTGCTAAAGATTCAGAGACAGGAAATTAGAAAGTTGCACATTTCCTGAGGAGGTCCAAAATGGTGACAGCACAGGAGGATGCTGAACTTGCCCCTCCCAAGAATACATTGAAATATACATCTATGTATAGATCCAATACTCCTGAGACAGCAGAGGCTGGATGCTCATCTGCTGAACAACAGAGAAGGTGGGAAATGGAGGATGCAAGGTCGAAGGTGCTGGTTTTGAGTTTAGCAAAGCAAACTTGGGCAGGTGAGCGAAGAATGAAAGGAAAAGCAATATACTTGTGGCTAAAACCAACTCCAAATAGCTTATCTATAATAATAAAAGTGTAATATGCAAATCGACGAAACTGCCGAACAGCAGAACTAACAGCAGAATGACCATCTGGACGACCCCGCTATGACACACTGGTGCCAGGCCAGCCAAGGAAAGTGCGATGCAATTGGTGGGGGGGGGCCTCCATGACTGCCTCAAAGAGGAAGGCCCAGGCCACTGACCAGCAGGCTTCAGCGGGTCCTCCCTCTGCGGAGTGATTGATTGCGGGGCTCCTGGACAGCAAGAGGGCACAGACCAGGCTGAAGGACCGACCCACCCCCTGCACAAATTCGTGCACCGGGCCTCTAGTTTCAAATACTAGCCTTCCTTACACAGTTCATTTGGAGAAGGGAAAGGGAAAGAAATGAAGAATTTGCAAGTATCACATAAAACACTAGTATGCCAAAATTGTATCTGCTATTTAACAGATGATTCTTTAAGTTTCATGCAGCAAAAGTTATTTCTACAGAGAAACTATTAAGTATATATCAAACAGCCTAGTCTGGGCTATCAATTTTTCTAGAGATTCAGTGAGGAAGCATTATAAAAATAATGCCTTTTAATAAACTAAATCCTTTCCACTTTATCATCATCGTCACCTCCATAAGTTATGATTAGCCTTTGCCAAATTATCAAAAGCACATGGAACTGACTAAACCTTCACGACAGTAAAATCAGACGAGAGCCCAAAGTTCACTGGGACTCTATTTTTTTTTTTTTAAATATATTTTATTGATTTTTTACAGAGAGGAAGGGAGAGAGATAGAGAGTTAGAAACATCGATGAGAGAGAAACATCGATCAGCTGCCTCCTGCACATCTCCTACCGGGGATGTGCCCGCAACCCAGGTACACGCCCTTGACCGGAATCGAACCCGGGACCTTTCAGTCCGCAGGCTGACGCTCTATCCACTGAGCCAAACCGGTTTCGGCCACTGGGACTCTATTATTACTGGCTCTGGTCTCTCTTAAGTCAGGTTGTTTTTTTTGTTGTTTTTTTTTTAAGGCTCTCGAAACCTTAAGTAAATAAATCCAACAGCCAGTGAAAACTGACACGCCCAGAAACTCCCAAGAAACATTTACTTCATAGTTCACAATAGACTGTCCTATTCCATCTGCGTTGGCCTTGCCTGGGGCTAAAGGTTAAAGGAAAACATTCCTGAACACCTTCATACTTTATGGGTGGAAAAACTGAGGAGGGAAAAAGAACAATCCATCCTAAGAGGATTTCTTCAAGGGCAGGGACATAGAACTATCATTTCCATGGCATATACCCTATCTTCTGACTTTCCTAAAACTGCTTAATTTTTGCTCCTTAACTAAAAAAATAATTCAGCCCTGGCCAGTGCTCAGTTGGTTGGAGCACCGCCTCGTGCACCAAAAACGTTTCGGGTTCAATTCCCAATCAGGGCACTTAATCAGATGGCAGGTTCGATCCTGGTCAGGACACACAGAAAGCAACCGATCAATGTTTCTCTCTCACATTGATGTTTCTCTCGCTCTCTTTCTCTCTCCTTCCTCTCTGTAAAATCAGTAAAAATATACATTTCATCTACATTTCTAGAATCCTTCCAACACAAGATGTATGCGATGCTACAGCTAAAGGAGCCTTCGGGATGATCAATATCTTTACCCCTGACCAGCAGTACCCACCCTTAGCCCTTTCCACTGACCTCCCACCAGCCAACAAATAAGTAAATAAAAAATCCCATCCTGGAACCAGTATCCAGGATTCTCAACTAACCCTCGTGGAAGCAATCAATCTGCTCAAAGAAACCTATGGTGGCCGTTTCTGGGGTTGTTCCCAACAGCATCCTAACAGAGAATTTCTAAGAAACGAAGTCTTACTCCAAACTTCTCTACAGACAGGTTAGGTTTTCAATAACATGCATTGGGGAGATATTTTTGACGAGAGAGACTTTGTGGGCTTTCCACAAATCACATCACATAGGAAGCTGCCTACCAGTAGGTTAACAGTATATACAAAAAAGAAAATTGCTCTAACCTCTCTCAGCCTCATTAAGTATTTCATAGATACTGTGAATATTAGTGCAGAACCAGACACTGGGATTCACCAGGCTGTTCTCCATGTAAAACGTTTAAGTCTGCCACCTGCTACCTCTCCAAAAACACCCTTTGGCAATCTTGACCCCAGAGGGTACCCTGGGTAATAGTGTTTCCCTCCCAAGGATAAACAGGAAAGTAAAAGGTGACTGGGTGGGGGTGGGGAGTTGTTTGAGTTGTGTTAGTTCCTTCCACATGATTAGTTTACTTATTTTTTCCCCCACGATTACTTTAGAACCAATCCATTTTCAGTGCCTAGATCTACTTCTTGAAAATGGAAATATGATTTTTACCTCGTAGTAAAATAATTTCTACTTATCCCAACTTCTTACAGTAAAACCTGAGACCAAAACTTTTGCACCATAGACAATAATTCTAAGAACAGAGTTTCACAAAGCACTAAAGGTCAAGTTCAGAGACAGAAACCTAGGGGTTTAATGAAAGATTGGATGCTTGCTGATTATTTGAATACTTACCCACTCTTCAACATTGGGGGGCTGCTCATCATAAACAGGCTCCTTGTCCCACAAAATATTCGACTTGTCATACTGGTCCATCTTTCTTCGAGTTTTCACAGCAAAGAAAATTATTAAAGCAAAAGCCACAATAACCATGAATCCCAGCACAATGGCAATGGCCTAAAGAGAGGAAAGATAATGATATAATTACATTTTAATTGCTTACTTCAGCTCAATGTACCCTCTACAAGTACCTAATCCACCCTCTACAAATACCCTACTAAATATCTGTGACTTAACTGATATAAAACTAGCTACATTTTAGAACTGTAAAACCGACCCATACTAGTTAAGCTAATGCTAGCAAAACACACACACCCCTTAATTCAATCCTCAGAATACAGTTAATTAACGTTAGGTACTATCATCATCTCCGTTTCAGAATTTTACAGGAAACTATTGCCAACTAAAGCTTGAGCACCAAGGGGTCGTATTTTACAGAGGATCGGCCTTACCCTTAAGTATGCAGACATAATCTAACCGAACTATAAATTAGAGGAACCTGACTAATGCTTCATTTAGTCTGGCAGGTTTTTCTGTTTTGGAGTCTTTCATCTACTTACTAGAAAGGGCTCTGTGACAAGGAAACCCTACCCATGACGGTTCTCCCAGTGCCTGGTAGATGTGCTAAGTGGTATGCTGGCCCAGAGGCACCTGGAGTTGAGGCAGGCACCAGGACTCTGCCCTGGATATATGGGTAGCAGGAGGCTCTCTCTGCAGCTATCTCACAGTGATATCCTTCCTTAAAGAATACAGGTTTGGGTAGCAGGAGGACTAAAAAGGCTGGGGCTGTGGGTAGGATAGGAGTACCGACCGTCAGCCCTGTTTACCATAGATACATCTGAATGTCAACCACAAACATTCTGAAAACCTACAATTGCAGGGAAAAACACTTCAGTCTTCAAAAGAGGCAAAAGAATGAGGATTCCTGAGTCAGTTAGAAACCCAGAAACATTTTCTGAATATAATTAGGGGGTGACTCATGGCTCCTGAAGCCAGGGTTTTTACCCCACCTGCACATTTGAATCACTTGGATAGCTTTTAAAAATACTGGCTTACACTCTAAAAATTACAAAACACTTTTGAAAGAAATTAAAGATGACCTAAGTAAATGGAAAGACATACTACGCTCATGTATTAGTAGACTTGATGTAAAGATGACAATACTCCCCAAATCGATCTACAGATTCAATGCAATCCTTCAAAATTAAAATTCTAGCTGGCTTCTTTTTCCCTCCAGAAATTTACAAGCTGATCCCAAAATTCATATGAAAACACAGGAGACCCAGAATTTAGCCAAAACAATCTTGAAAAAGAACAAAGCTGGCAAACTCCCACTTCCTGGTTTCAAAACATACTACAAAGCTACAGTAATCAAGACAGTGAGATACTAGCGTAAGGACAGAAATACAGATGAATGGAATAAAATTGAGAGTTTAGAAATAAATCCTGACATTTATTGTCAATTCATTTTTGACTAGGGCATGGACAATTTCATGGTGAAATAGTCCTTTCAATAAATAATGCTAATATAACTGCACAAAGAATGTTAGACTCCTTCTATACGTTATGTCCTAACTGAATGGATCACAGACCGAAATGAAAGAGCTAAAATTAAATGTCTTAGAAGAAAACACAGGAGTTAATCTTTGTGACCCTGAATTAGGTCAGGTGTTCTTAGATATGACACCACAAGCACAAACAAAAGAAAAATCAAACCATCAAAATGAAAGGCTTTTGTGCAGAGAACAATAGAACCATATACAGAAAGTGAAATGAAAATGATAAAATGAGGGAAAATACTTGCAAATCACACATCTATAAGGGACTTGTATTCAGATATATAAAGAGGTCTCACAACTCAATAATAAAAATACAAGTAGCCCAGTTAAAAAATTGACAGGTTCTAACAGCCATTTCTCCAAAGAAGATATATGCACAAAGAAAACAGGTTCAACATCCTTCATTAGCTGTCAAAGAAGTGCAAATCCAAACCAAAATGAGGCAAAAACACTGTTGGTGAGAATGTGCATAAATTGGAATCCTATGTTTCTGGTAAATTTAAAGTAATATAACCACTTTGGAAAAGTCTGGCAGTTCTTCAAAAGGTTAAGCACAAAGTCACCATAAGACTCAGCAATTCCACCCCTAGGTATAGAGTCAAGAGAAATTAAAACACAGGTTCACACAAAAACTTATACACAAATGTTCAGAGCATTATTCATAACAGCCAATGTGGAATTAGCCCATATGTCCATCAACTAATGAGTAAAAAAAATTGGTATATTCAAATAAAGAACTATTATCTATATACATAAAAGGCTAAGTGACCATCTGACAGTCCCGACCGGCTGGTACATATGTTACACACTGACCACCGGGGGTAGATGCTGAACGCAGGAGCTGCCAAGCTGTGGTGGCAGCAGTGGTTCTCGGGTGACACACCTTGGAACCAGAGAGGAGGGAGCCTGATTCCTCCCAGGGCCACGTTTCTCCACTTTCGGTCGGGCCCTGGGTTACATTGTTGCTGGGGCACTGTTAGCCCTGAACTGGTTTACTGCCAAGCTGCAGTGACTTGGCAGCGGTGGTTCTCGGGCGACGCACCCCGGAACCAGAGAGGAGGGAGCATGGCCCCGCTTCCTTTCAATGTGCATGAATCCATGCACCAGGCCCCCTAGTTCAGCAATAAAAAGGAATGAAGTACTGGTACCTGCTACAACATGAACCTTAAAAACACTATGCTAAATTAAGTCAATCATAAAAAACTGCATATGTATTATGTGATTCTGTTTATATGAAATCCAGAATAAGCAAATCTATAGAATAGGTCTGGAAAGAGTTAGGGAAATGACAACTGACTGTTTGAATTAGTGAAATGTTCCCCGGGAAATAGTGAAAGTGTTGATTGTGGTGATGGTTGCACAACTCTGTGAATATACTAAAAACCAACGAACTGTACTCTAAATGGATGAATTACGTGGTATGTTAATTATATCTCAACTAGAGGCCCGATGCACAAAATTCATGCAAGGAGCTGGGCCCTCACAGCCACGGCCCAGCTTCGTCCGGAAGTACATCTGGAAGGTCATTCGGCTGTCCAGTCTAATTAGCATATTACACTTTTATTATTGTAGACTAGAGGCCCGGTGCATGAAATTCATGCACGGAGGTGGGGGGGCCCTCAGCCTGGCCTGCACCCTCTCCAATCTGGGACCACTTGGGGGATGTGCGACTGCCGGGGGATGTGATCCCTGTGGGATCAGGTCTAAATCAGACAGTCGGACATCCCTCTTGCAATCTGGGACCACTGGCTCCTAACCGCTCACCTGCCTGCCTGCCCAATCACCCCTAACTGCTCTCCCCTGCTGGCCCGATTCCCCTAATTGCTCCTTTTTGCCGGCTTGATCCCCCTAACTGCTCTCCTCTGCTGGCCTGATCCCCCTAACCACCTCTGCCTTGACCCCATCACAGTAGCCTTGTCCGGAAGGACATATGGAAGGTTGTCTGGAAGATGCCCAGTCTAATTAGCATATTACCCTTTTATTAGTATAGATAATGACACCTAGCCCTTCTCTCAGAGTCTGATTAAAATAGAAGTGGGGACTTGGCAACAATATTGTTTAAAAGTTCCCAATGTGGTTCTATTAAGCATCCTGAGTTGAGCCTCTAACACAAGGTGTGAAAAAACAAAATTACTCATACCTCCTGAGGATCCACCACACAGTAGTGATACAAATACTGATCCACGTACATCCCAGAAGTTGTAGGTGAATAAAACTGGTTGCAGATGGCAATAATCTGTGAACCATACATAGATCCAGAAGCCTGGGCAGTTGGATTGACTCCCATTATGTAGACGATTGTGGCAATAAACACCATGAAGCCCAGGATAGCACTCACTATTATCACGGTCAGGTAATATCTTCTTGTTCTAGATATTTCAGATCTTATAACACTGGTAACGAATATAACCAATGCAGCAATGAAACAAAAGGCAGCCATGGACAGAAGGAAGCCCTTTGCCGCTCTTGGATCTGTATAGCCTGTTCCATAGCCATAACCGTAGCCATAACCATAGCCATTTCCGAAGCCTCCAAAGCCACTTCCAGGATAAGGGTAACCTATACCACCTCCTAGAATGTTACTTCCATAGCCTCTGTCCCAGCCAAGTGTGGAGGCGACACAGGCAAAGATGGCAATGCACAGCACGATGATGAGCATAGACAGAATCCGAATCACTCCTGGAGGAGAGGTCCATTTGTAGAAGTGAAGAATTTCATCTTCTGGGTAGAAAGAATATGCCGTATGAGAGAGCATTGGGCGACCATGCATCTCCCCACCGTACATGTCATTGCTTGGTGCGTAATGACTTGGTTTGCTGAAATGCACATGAAAACAATGTTAAGTTAGCACTTTTTGGAGGGAAGGGGGAAGGGGGAAGGGGGAAGGGAGAAGGTCGCAGTTAGGCAGTTAGGAGGATCAGGCCAGGAGGGGAGAGCAGTTAGGCAGTTAGGGCAATCAGGCTGACAGGAGAGAGCAGTGAGGCAGTTAGGGGGATCAGACCAGGAGGGGAGAGCAGTTAGGGGGATCAGGCAGGCAAGCAGGTGAGTGGTTAGGAGCCAGTGGTTCCGGATTGCAAGAGGGATCCCGGATTGGAGAGGGTCGGGCCTCTAGTATATTGTCTCCCTCCCCCGCCCCCATGCACAAATTTCATGCACCGGGCCTCTAGTATATTATAAAACCACATGTATGATTCCATTTATATGAAATGTCCAGAATGGACAAACCTAGAACAGAAAAGTAGACTGGTGGTTGCTGAGTACAGGGGGGAAATAGGGAATGGGTAAGGGTGTCTTTGGGGAGGTGGTCATAAAAATGTTCTAAAATAGTGATGCTTCCACAACGCTGTGAATACATTAAAATCACTGAACTGTCCATTCTAAATGAGTGGATTGTATGATGTATTATACTTCAATAAAAGTGTTATTTAAAAATTTGATGCCATGTTGCCAATGGTGACTTAAACAAGGCATTAATATGGAAGTGTCATAACAACTGTGAAAACAAAAGGAATATACATACAAATATAACCCTAGACTATATTGAAGTAAACATTAGAAACAGGTAACAATAGTTGCCTTTGCAGAGAAAAACTCATCCTGGAAGTTATGGGTAAGAGGGAAACTCATTTTTCACTGAATACACATATTTTATTTTTAAAAGCAAACAAAGAATAGATGAAAATTTCAACAATAGGTACATATTTTTTTTTTTACATGTGATAGACTTTTTTAAAAGGAAAACTGACGAAATATTTACTTACAATTCATCAGGTCTATATGGAGGGGGACTTTCAAAAGGCCTCGATGACATGGTCAGTGGTCACCTGATCTTCAAGATGAGCAATGTCCTGTAGCTCCCAAGATAAGCCAATCTAAGCAACATAAGTAGGGTAATGGCATTACTACTGAGCTCAGAGTTTCCTTGCATCACTAAGAAAACTAGTGATACCAATCTCAAGTGACTTCTCACACCATGTTTATTTCTCTGGTCCTTCCCATTGCTATTTTATACATTGGACCATTACTTCCTTGAGCAGAGGAAATCACTGAGCACAGGAATTACTCAGCCTGGGAGTCCTCACAGCACCTCACACCATGCTCGGTACATCGCTGGCGTACAAATACTGCTTACTTTGAAATTCTATATTGTAGTAATAAAAAATTCACAATGCTTCTACAGCATAGGTAAAAAATTGTATTTATTTTTTAAAACAGTCTCTTCAAATAACAAGATGGGTATGAGAAAAAAACATTATTTAAATATATTGTTTCATATTACTTTGGAAAGTTCATATAAAATGAGAATGCATATGAAAGTGCATATCGCCCAGTTGGTGTGGCTCAGTAGTTGAGCATCGACATATGATCATGGTTCGATTCCCAGTCAGGGTACATGCCTGGGTTGCAGGCTCAATCCCCGGTAGGGGGTGTGCAGGGGGCAGCAGATCGATGATTGTTTCTCATCATTGATGTTTCTCTCTCTCTCCCTTCCTCTCTGAAATCAATAAAAATACATTTTTTAAAAAGAAAAAAAAGTGCATATCTAGCAGAGTCTAACACATACTAGGCCATCAATGTTAACTATAGCATAAGCTGGTTTAAAAAGTATATTTTTCTCATTACAAATGATTACAAGATGCATCTCTGAATGGTGGGATTGTGGACAGTTAGTTTCCCATTCTGCTTTTCTAAATCTTCAAAACCGGGCATAATTTTTATAAATTATGGGGGGAAAAAAACATTAAATGCACATTGTATTAAAGAGTCCTCGCCAAGACCAGCTTGGCTCAGTGGATAGAGCGTCAGCCTGCAGACTGAAAGGTCCCGGGTTTGATTCCGGTCAAGGGCATGTACCTTGGTTGCGGGCACATCCCCAGTAGGAGATGTGCAGGAGGCAGCTGATCGATGTTTCTCTCTCATCGATGTTTCTAACTCTCTATCTCTCTCCCTTCCTCTCTGTAAAAAATCAATAAAATATATTTTTTAAAAAAAAGAGTCCTCTAAGGCAAAAACCGAATGATTTTGTTCTAACATTTCTCAATTTGTCCCAATTTCATTCAATCAACGAGTATTTATTAAGTGCCTCTGCTATATCACAGGACCTGTGGAGATTAAGTAGGAGACAAAGTCCTCCTGAAGGTCACCCAGCCTACTGCAACAGGCATTAATTAGGACCGGGTTATGTGATAAAGTGCAGTATGGGGATGACCAAAGACTTAAAGAGGAAGTGGAAAGGAAGGAAGGGAGGAAGAACAATTGAGCAAGACCTATATCTTCCCTGGCCGGCGTTGCTCAGTGGTTAGAGCGTTGGCCCATGCACCAAAGGGTAGCAGGTTCCATTCCTGGTACCTGAGTTGCAGGTTCGATCCCTGACCTAGACTGGGGTGTGTGCAGGAGGCAACCAATCGGTATGTCTCTCACCCCCCCCTCTCTTTTTCTCTCACTCCTCCCTCCCTCCCACTCTAAAAATATCCTTAATGAGAACTGACAAAAAAAAAAAGAATCAACCAATCAATACAGGGATAGGTGGAACAACAAATTGATATTTCTCTCTCTCTAAAAAAAATATTAAAAAATCTATATCTGAATATATTAAAGTGTCCAATGTTTTTTTTTTTTTTAAATATATTTTATTGAGTTTTTACAGAGAGGAAAGGAGAGAGATAGAGAGTTAGAAACATCGATGAGAGAGAAACATCGACCAGCTGCCTCCTGCACACTCCCCACTGGGGATGTGCCCGCAACCAAGGTACATGCCCTTGACCGGAATCGAACCTGGGACCTCTCAGTCCACAGGCCGACGCTCTATCCACTGAGCCAAACCGGTTTCGGCGTGTCCAATGTTTTTTATTCTCAAATAAAGTATGTGTAATCTTGCATCACTATGTTAGAAACTGAATCAATTCAAACTCTTTAAACTTTATTCTTTAAAAGCAACAGCAGCTATTGCCTACATCCTTAAGGACAATGAATTCCAAATGTCTTAGAATAAAATACTGCCTAAATGTATTACATAAAACCTCGAAGATGGAAATACAGTGAATGTTAGTAACATCAATAGTTAACATAACTTTTCCAAACACAAAGAGGGAAGACAACTTCTCTACATTCTTTTACTTCTAAAAACCACCTTATTGACTGAAGTATACAGAAAGTCCACAAGTCATAGGTGTACAAAGCCCTATAACTAGCATCCAAACACACATATGAATGAGCAATTTAGGCCAAAATATCATGGTGCTGTAAGAGGAAAAGTCCAGACTGTCGAATCTCAGCGGGAAGACAGGGGTGGGGGTGGGGGGGGTGGTTGAGGGATAGGAAGAGACCTTGTAGGCATATATATGCATAACCTCTGAACACAGACAATAGGGTAGTGAAGGCCTGGGGCTGGGGGGAGGGTGGGGGCGGGCTAGAAGAGGTCAATGGGAGAAAAAAGGGGACATATGTAATACTTTCAACAATAAAGATTTTTTTTTAAAAAAAAAAGAGTCAAAGTCCAGGTTAAATGTCTCCCTAATTGAGATTTAGAAAAATATTAAGAAAAACTGAATTTAGACACTATTTCTGAAGCTGAATGTCAAATACTGACTGACTGACCTGAAAGGAGGAATCTTATTCCTTCTATACCTCTCACTCACTCATTCAAGACTATGCCAAAAATTCCACGCTCAATGATGGCTTTTGAACATTCCAACTTAATCCAGACCCAGACCACAGTTTAAGTTTTGTCAAAAATCTAAACAAGAGCTGTGGCCGGTTTGGCTCAGTGGATAGAGCGTCAGCCTGTGGACTAAAGGGTCCCAGGTTCGATTCCGGTCAAGGGCATGTACCTTGGTTGCGGGCACATCCCCAGTAGGAGGTGTGCAGGAGGCATCTGATCGATGTTTCTTCTCTCATTGATGTTTCTAACTTTCTATCTCTCTCCCTGCCTCTCTGTAAAAACATCAATAAAATATATATTTTTTTAAAAATCCAAACAAGAAAATCCCTTTCCAAACTACTATTTCCTAGATTCAGAGTTTAGTTGTCATGACTCCTCTAATAACAGGTTTTAAATTGTGAAGCAAATTAACTTTAGAAAGCTAATTTAATTAAGAACAAGTAATGCCACACCAACTTCATCTCCTTTTTGGAGGTTACCAGGCTGGTAGATGAAGGAAGTGCAGAGAGAATCCTGAGACTCTTGAGCACATCCTTGCTGTACAGACCGCTTTGGGCAGATTTCTAAGAAGCTAAAGAATGGAATCTAATTAATAAAAGAATGGGCCATTTATGTCCACCTGGAGGGAGGTCTCTAGTGGTTCTGCTACACACAAAGTGGAGGCAACAAGCTTATCCAGATTTGCAGCTAAGGACCCCACTGGCTACAAGTCTATTAACACTGATCAAGTTCTCTGTACGGTCAGAAGGATGAAAGGATGATTAAAAGAAACCTAGTGGTTGTAAAAACTCATTGCCTTGCACAAGTTCCTCATCTCTGAGCCTCACTGCCCTCCTCTGTCAAATGGGGGCTAACCCTAAACTCTGAGGTGGGATTACTAAATAAAACAATGAATTAACCTGGCCGGTGTGGCTCAATGGTTAAGCATCCACCCATGAACCCAGAGGTCACAGCTGGATTCCAGGTCAGGGCACATGCAACCTATCGATGTTAATGTTTCTCTCTCTCTCCCTCTCCTTTCCTCTCTCTCTAAAATGAATAAAAACATTTTTTAAATGTTAACTCAATTTTTAAAAATTAATAGTATAAGTACTGGATAAGGAGAGCTGGCTTAATAACTGTCCATTTTTAAAAGTGCATTCCCTTGGTGAGAATTTCAACAAAAGTTAACATATTATTCCAAACTCAGATAGCACTCACAGAGATAGTGCTTGAATCTAGTTTTGACACAGTAATTAAAAAGAAGCAAACCTCTGCAATAACTTAAAATCTGTGCAGCATGTTCCAATTAACTCCCTCTCCAAAGGGTGATTAAGATTATTGAAGATCTAGAAAAATTATGTCTTTTTTAAAATATATTTTATTGATTTTTTTACAGAGAGGAAGGGAGAGGTTTAGAGAGTCAGAAACATCGATGAGAAACATCGATCAGCTGCCTCCTGTATATGTCCCACTGGGGATGTGCCCGCAACCAAGGTACATGCCCCTGACCGGAATCGAACCTGGGACCCCTCAGTCCGCAGGCCGACGCTCTATCCACTGAGCCAAACTGGTGCTGGCAGGAAAAATCATGTCTTAACACAAATGATTGGAAAAACAGGAAATGTTTGGCCTGGAGAACTCAACATTACAAGGACCGCTATGGCAACCTTCAAATATCTGAAGACCCCCCTTTGTCGTCCTAGACATGGTATTTGAAACACACACACACACACACACACACCACCAGGGTCAGATTCCCTCTCAATGTTAGGAAGTTTCTCCCTCACCCTGACCCCACACACCCTCCAAAAAATAACAACTAACAACTTGATCTGATGCCAATTATGCAAAGCTTAAGTTGTTTGATATTTGGGGGGACTGGACGGGACTTAAAGGTCTCTCTCAAGGCAGTCTGCGACTGTGCTTTGAGGCGACAGCCAAAGTAGAAAGTGAGCCAAGATACAACAGACTGTTGTCCAATGTCCACACAGCAAGCTGTGACAGTGAAAGGGACATAAGTCCAACAGCTGAGTAAAAGTCGGGGGCAAAAGAGACGCAGCAAACGCTTGTAGAATGTTATGCTGAAAGCCAGCTAATGTTAACATACAACAAAAGTTCTCTTCTTGAAAATGTTTACTGGTCCAAAGCTGTCCTAAAAACAAAACAAAAAACAAAACAAAAACAAGCTAAGATGAAGTAGAAAAGTCTGAAAATCTATGCCCAAAATTA